ACAAGAACCAGCATGCTATGAGGATGCCAAGTCTGATCAGAAATGGAGAGCTGCAATGGAGGAGGAGATTCGGATGATAAACAAAAATGGAACTTGGTCTCTCGTCAATAGACCAGAAAAGAAGAAGGTGATAGGGGTAAAATGGGTTTACAAGACCAAATTTAACCCCGATGGTTCGATCAACAAGCATAAAGCAAGGCTTGTTGTAAAAGGGTATGCTCAAGAATGGGGGGTGGATTATTCAGAAACATTTGCCCCTGTTGCTCGGTTGGACACGATCAGATTCTTGTTGGCTGTATCTGCACAAATGAAATGGAAGGTGTTGCATATGGACGTCAAATCAGCATTCCTGAATGGGGAATTAAAAGAGGAGACGTTCATTGAGCAACCCGAAGGTTTCAAAATCGAAGGAAATGAAGATAAAGTGTATTTGCTGAAAAAAGCGTTGTATGGTCTCAAACAGGCTCCAAGAGCCTGGTATGAGAGGATTGACCAGTGTCTTCAAGGTCTGAAGTTTGTCAGAAGCCTGAGTGAGTACACGTTGTACACCAAGAAAGGAGGAGGAGGGTTGACAGTTGTTTCCTTGTATGTTGATGACCTGCTAATAACTGGAGATGATAATGCAGAAATTGAAGACCTACAGGGTTTGCTGAATAAGGAATTCGAGATGACAAACCTTGGTCTCATGTCTCAGTTCTTAGGACTCGAAGTTCAACAGACAGAAGGTACGATTTTTATTGGACAACAAAAGTATCTTAAGCAGATTTTGACAAGATTTAATATGGAGGATTGCAAGAGTATGAAGACACCACTTGATCCGAAGGTGAAGTGTCAGAAATTTGAAGGAAGTGAAGCAATAGATGAAGGATTGTACAGAAGCATGATTGGATGTCTGATGTATTTAACAGCTTCAAGACCAGATATCTTGTTTGCTGTTAATATACTATCACGATACCTCTCATGTGCTAAGAAGGAGCATATGATTTCTGCAAAGAGGGTACTTAGGTATCTGAAAGGAACTCAGAACCTGGGTATCAGATTCAGATCGTGTCAAGAATTTGAGCTAGAAGGATATGCTGACAGTGATTGGGCTGGATCAAGTGAAGACATGAAGAGTACTTCAGGTTTTTGTTTTTCACTGGGTTCAGGCTGTTTTTCATGGAGTTCAAAGAAGCAGAGCATTGTCGCACAGTCTTCCGCTGAAGCAGAATTCGTAGCTGCTACAGAAGCAGCAAAGCAAGCTATTTGGTTGAGGAAACTCTTGAAGGATCTTGGGTTGGAATGTATCAGACCGACAAAGATGATTATTGACAATCAAGCTGCAATTGCCATTTCACACAACCCTGTGTTTCATGGCAAAACGAAGCACTTCAAGATTAAGTATTATTTTCTGAGGGAGGTTCAAAAAGAAGGAGAAGTTTCCATGGTTCACTGCAGAACTGAGGAGCAGAAGGCAGACTTATTTACAAAGTCGTTTCATCCAAGCCGGTTCGAGTTGCTGAAACAGATGATAGGAATGTGTTCGAAGGCTCAAGCCAAGGAGGAGAATGTTAGCAAGTAAATTGGATGGCTCAAGCCTTTACATGAAGAGAAGGAAGTCTGAAATTAAGTCTGGATAAGATAAAGCAGTTAGTTTATGTTTCAGTTACGTGTCAGTTATTTATTCAGTTTGGTTTGTAAGTTATATATGTATGCAAGACTTGTGAAATATATATGATGTTTTCTGGATATCTCTGTTCTAGATTTCCTGGGTTTTTTTATAACAGAGTAAGAGTAGAAAAAGAAAGATTTACAGTGGTATCAGCAACTGACTCCTCTTTCCTCATGTACCTTCTTTGTTCCTGTGCCTGGAGAGCACTGAGAATCTCAGGTAGTTTGATTGCTGAGAGTTCTTTCGTGTTTTCCAGAGAAGCGATCGTTGCTTCGAACTTCTCAGGTACTGACACCAGAATCTTCTGAACAATCTTGTTATCATCAACCTTTGTGCCCAGAATTCTGATGTTGTTAATTATGTTGACCAGTCGATCAACATAAACTTTCACGGTTTCATCATTCTTCATCTGTTGCTTCTCAAATTCCCGCAACAGGTTCAACACTTTCATACTTCTGATTTTTTCATCACCTTCATACTCTGTCTTCAGGAAATCCCACATTTCTTTGGCAGAATCAAGATTCATAATCTTGATCAGAATCGATGGCGTTACTGCAGCAAAAAGACAGGATTTCGCTTTGGACTTCTTTGTCACCCTCTCTCTATTATTCCTCAATTGGTTGACTGTCGGATTCGCTGGCAAAGCAGGAATCTCATAATCTTCTCCCACCGCTTCCCAGAGATCAGCACCTTCGAGGAACGCACGCATCCTCACTGCCCAGATCTGGTAGGCCTCGCCATTGAAGATCGGAGCATTCTGCACAGGATTTGAAGTTGTCAAATTTTCTGTTTGATCCATCTCCTACAGATCCGAGAAAGATCCTTGACAATGCTCTGATACCACTGTAAATCTTTCTTTTTCTACTCTTACTCTGTTATAAAAAAACCCAGGAAATCTAGAACAGAGATATCCAGAAAACATCATATATATTTCACAAGTCTTGCATACATATATAACTTACAAACCAAACTGAATAAATAACTGACACGTAACTGAAACATAAACTAACTGCTTTATCTTATCCAGACTTAATTTCAGACTTCCTTCTCTTCATGTAAAGGCTTGAGCCATCCAATTTACTTGCTAACACCGTTCTTTGCGTATTTTTTCCGTTCATCCTGTTTTGTAGGTACGAGTCACGGACGACACACACAGCCGAAATACTTGATCACATGGGTTTTTTCATCGGTTTTCTAACGTCATTAGTCCCATCTCATGATATATTTTAGGCATATTAGGACATTAGATGGTCATGGATAGGAGTCTTCCTTTCTTTTTCCTTGCAAGATGATTAGACGAGAATTTTCGCAAACCATACGCGGAAAAAGATCGGAACGGAGAAGGTCGGAGGAGCTCAGAGGAAATGAGCGGGCCGCCCGTTATTCCAGACGATCGCTCGATGTGCCGAAGAGATAATGGCTCACTGAACCAGGCGGTCACCCGACGCAACAAAGGAGAACGAGGGTCACTCGCTAAATCGAGCGGTCGCTCACCATGGAGAAAATTAGCGACCCTGAAGAGAAAATGAGCGGTCCTGAAGAAAAAGTGAGCGACCGTCTGAAATCAAAACCGGTCCAAAAAGGAAAAGTCCGAATTTTGAGGAGAAAACCTAGTTTTTGCACTTTTATAAAAAGGGGGATTGAGGAGAGAGAAAGGGGGCTCGATACTTTTGAAGAAAAACTACCTTGGAGAAGAGGCTAAGGAGTTTTGGAGACCTAGGGAGACATCTTGAAGGAGAAGATCACCATTGAAGACCATCTTGAGCATTTCTTCTCCTTTTCTATGTTTTCCTCTTTTGTTTTCTGTTTTGAATCTCTAGTTATGGAGTAGTGACCTTGTTGTGGGTGAGGGATCCCCACTTTTGTATGAACACCTATGCTTAATCTATGATGTCTTTGAGTTTTCTTCCATGGTTTTGATGTTTTGTGCTTAATGCTATTGATTTAGAGACCCTAATTGATATGATTGTAGAACACATTGATCATAGGGATATGGGAATGATGTTTGGAACCAAATATCAAATGAGTGAGTTATTCACATTGAGAAATGGCTTAGCTTGCTTAGGGTACATTAATGCATCTAGAAATCATTTAGACCATTGGGAGATGGATGAATCGATCCTTTAGATAGTGAGTTTAAGCTTGGAAAAGACAAACTCTAGTTGAGGTGTTTGAAACCCCTATTTGGAAAATAAACCCGTAGGCATTATAATATCACCAACCGTCCATGTAATTCATGAGGGATCCCAAACCTACAACGCCTCGAACCATTGTTTACAAACCGATAATCTTATTTGCTTGCTTTAATTTCGACACATACCAACATCCATATTTTTATTCGATTACCAATCTAGCTTAGAGATAGACTAATACATCCTAGTCCTCGTATTCAACCCCGGTACTACAGCTACCATATACTTGCGTATAGTGGTACGAATCAGGTACTAAATACAAGACTCGGTGCGTGTGCATCAATACTCTATCTAATTCCTCACATGATCCGAAGAGGTTCCAGATCGCGGCCATGGACGAATCAAGATCGAAGATTTGCTAAGTCCCGAGACTTACCGTTTGGCCCAGACATGGTCCAAAATGAGTTCTTGGACGTGTCCGGCCGTTCTCCATGGTTTGGGCTCGGGCCAAAACCTGTTTAGTTTGTCTAAGTTCATTGTATTTGGCCGAAGAGACATCCTGACATTCTCTCCCGGTTTTTGGACACTGTGAAATAAGTGGGGAAGAATATTCCCAACACCCTTCCTTAAATCATGGCACTAAGGGAGAAAATGAAAGGAGCCTTCCCACTTTTCCCATTTTAACTCCCGAAACGTAGGGACGTGTGGAGTTAATTAGAGACCGAATTTTATGAACTCTCCACCAAGTGATTGTTAAATCTCTTCTATAAATAGACTGGTCATTTGTTGATAATTCTCTCTCTAAGTTCCGAATTTCGGTTTCTTAGGTCACCAGTTCGTTTTTTTTCCGGTCACACGCCTCGGCTTTCAAACCGCCGTCATGCTGTCCTCCTTGTACCGAACCGTCGTTGATCCTTGTATCTTTTATCCTTATCAATAAACTCGCCGCCGCAGGCTTCTGCCATCTCTTTGTCATTCTCACTTCGTTCCTTAAGGGAACCCAAAGGTTAGTCTAGTCTCCCAGAGTTTCCAAGTGCAACCGAGTTTGTCCGAAACTTCTCTTTTTTTCGCACCGAGACTAGACTGCCGCACGGAAAGATTCATATCTCGAATCTAAACCCGTGACAGTTTGGTATCAGAGCCGTGTTCACTCACAAACGGACCTGCTCGCTTACCGCTTCTGCACCATGACACTTGAGTTGAGAGATCGGGAAACCGAGAAAAGATGTTGCGTAACAACGTACATGCTGCACGGGGTTCAGACATTCCATCCGACACCCGCCTACCAGTCGCACGAGAGACTGTGGATCCCCGTCTAACTAGGGTACAAGCTCAAGCGGCAACCCTCACAGCCGCACACACATCCGGAGACGTGGACGAAGTCACCGAGAGCACACCCACAACACTCGAGAGCTGGGTCCAAACATTGGAAAGGTTCTCGGTCGACCAACACACGCGACTCGATGAGCATGACGCTCTTGAACGAGAAATTTTGGCCGTTGGACAGTCGACCAAGGAACTGCTCAACAACCTTGACCGCCAGATCCGACAGGATCGAGGCGCAACAGACGACCAGTTTCGGTTCATACATGAGAAGCATGAACGGGAGGTAACTGATTTGCGTCGTATTATTGACGAACTCACACTTGAATGCGGGAACCATAGGGTCGCAGCTCAAGCAGCCCCGGTTCCCGTGCAAAACCATACGGCACTCCGAGTTCCCGAACCGTCCTTGTACGACGAGACGAAGAGCGCGTCGGTGATCGAATCCTTCATCTTTGGGATGCAGCAGTATTTCGACGCCCTTGGCATCATGGATGACAACTTGAGATCTCAACGCCGATGACTCGAACATTCCGGGTCAAGCACCGATCCCGGCCGAGGTACGTATTGTTTTGGATGACTTTGCAGATGTCATGCCAACCGAGCTTCCGAAGAAGCTTCCCCCAAGACGTGGTATCGACCACGAGATCGAACTAGTCCCTGGGACTAAGCCACCGGCCATGAACCCGTATCGCATGGCCCCTCCCGAGTTAGCCGAACTCAAGAAGCTACTCGAGGATCTTTTAGACACCAGATACATACAGTCTGCCAAAGCCCCGTACAGCGCTCCCGTCCTCTTTCAAAAGAAGAAGAACGGATCATTTCGAATGTGCATCGACTATCGGGCGTTAAACAAGGTAACCGTCAAAAACATGTATATCATTCCGTTAATTGTTGATTTGTTTGACCAGCTCCGAGATGCACGAGTGTTTTCAAAACTGGACTTACAATCCGGATACTACCAAGTCCGAATTGCCGATGGCGACGAACCAAAGACCACTTGCATAACAAGGTATGGTTCTTCTGAGTTCAAGGTTACGCCCTTCGGTTTGACTAATGCTCCGACTACGTTCTCCACTTTGGTGAACCAATTATTTCATCCATACTTGGAAAAGTTTATTGTTGTGTATTTGGAAGATATTGTTGTGTATAGCCGAAGTTTAGCCGAACATTTAAGTCACCTTCGGACCATCCTCAAAGTCCTCCGAGAGAACGAGCTCTACATCAAGCTCGAGAAGTGTTGCTTTGCCCAACCGGAAGTGGAGTTTTTGGGTCATTACATCAAGGACAGACAACTCTCATGGACCCGAGAAAGATCAAGTCCATCCGAGAGTGGACTAAACCAAAGACCATTCCACAACTGCGGTCTTTCTTTGGCCTAGTCAACTACTACCGTTGGTTCATCCTTGGATATCCATCCATCGCAACACCTCTCTCAGACATGCTCAAAAAGGATCGTAAGTGGGAGTGGACCGAGAAGTGCCAAACCGCTTTCGACAAGCTTCAGACCCTTGTGTCCGAGGAACCGATCATGGCTTTGCCCGACTTGAGCAAACCATTCGAGGTACATTATGATGCCTCTGATTATGCCATTGGTGGCATTTTGATGCAGGAAAACCACTCAATCGCCTATGAGAGCTGCAAGCTCAACGAGGCCGAGAAGAAGTACACGGTCCAAGAGAAGGAGATGACGGCTGTCGTTCATTGTCTTCGGACATGGAGACACTAATCTCTTGGGCAGCCCGTTCGTGATCAAGACAGAAAACGTGGCAACTAGCTACTTCCAAACGCAGAAGAAGCTAAGTCTGAAGTAAACCAGATGGCAAGACTTCTTGGCTGTGGAGTATAAACCCGACAAGGCAATGTCGTTGCAAATGCACTTTTCCGCAAGACCGAGTTTTCCACACTCACGGGAAGCGAGCCTAGGACCGACTTTTCAATTCGGATTCGAGAGGCTATGACCCATGATCCCGCGGCCGTCCATCTCCTTAAACTTGCTCGAGAACATCATACTCGACGATTTTGGGAGCAAGATGGGTTGGTCTTCACTCGTGGACGTCAGATCTATGTCCCGAGGTATGAGGGTATCCACCAAGAGATACTCAAAGAGTCCCATGACTCTAGATGGATTGCCATCCCTGAGAGAAGCGGACATTAACTCTAGTGTTTGAGAATTACTATTGGCCGGATATGCAAGATGACGTCAAGGCGTATGTGGAGACATGTCTTGTTTGCCAGCAAGACAAGATCGAGTAGAGGCCTCCCGTGGGTCTTTTGCAACCATTGCCCATTGCCGACCATCCATGGCAATCCATTTCCATGGACTTCATTGTCGGATTACCCC